GTACTGTGTAAATAATTAGTTCAGCTCTACAAAAATTACAGCAAAAACTCCATTTCCATCCTCATCTTCATGATCACGACACCCACCACTGCCACAACCACTACCATCATCATCATCATTATCATTATCACTAACAGAAACAATAACAGCATTATCATCAGCGTGTCCCATACAAATAAACACGACAGGTCTTGATTCGCCATCCCACACGATCCCCGGAACCACGGATCAGGTCAATGTTGGGAGAATTATTTCAGGTACTCTTATTAGGTTGGTTAAACCACAGCCAGCTCCAGATTTATAAGGCCGTACAACAGAATCACGGCACATTTTGGCTGAGTCCCCTCGGAAATAGGTTACTGCAAGCGTCTCCATGTTGCATTTTGTGACATTATAATATGCTTACAAACTTCTGTGTTCTGATTGTATTCGTATTACAAATCGACAAGCGGATTTGTAAAGTGGACATACAAGCTGTTAGATTACAGCAATTTTAATTGTAATTCACGGGAGACAGTCGTGTTGTGATGTGTGTGTCAGTGTCACTGTTTCTAGTCAGTAGTTCGGATTTTTGGGAACTGGCTGTTTATTACTTTTCTACTTTAAATTGTAGAAATCTTACTTTTAGGGATAATACAAACAGGTAATTTAGAAGCCATATCTGGAGAATATCGACAGTTGTCAGGTGCAAACTAGCTTGTGTTTGAAGAAAACTATTGCTTTCATATTGACTGTGCATAAATGGTGCAACCACACTGTGGATAAATTGTGTCAAGATATTTCGGAGCTCTAGGTAAGTGGATGAAAATAATATTTAATTTACTAACTAACCTCTCACAGCAAGTCGCTCTTTGCCTCTTTACTAATTGTTGACTAACAGTATAATTATATGTTGTAGCAGTACACTAATGATATTAATCCTTAACCATTTGACTTATGCTTCGCGAACACTGGCTGTTAACTCTTGCGGAAACTTCTGGTAGTTCATCCACTTCTTTTGCTTATTTGCAGTTCTATGGTCTGTGTTAATTTTTGTAAACTGGCTTTTGCTTTGCTTCGCGAACACTGGCTGTAAACACTTGCGGAAACTTCTGGTTGCACATCTTCTTTTGCATATTTGCAGTTCTACGGTCTGTGTTAATTTTTGTAAACTGGCTTTTGCTTTGCTTCGCGAACACTGGCTGTAAACTCTTGCGGAAACTTCTGGTTGTTCATCCACTTCCTATGCATATTTGTTACCAAAAAATTCGAAATGATAAGGAATTGATTTCATTCAACAACATGAAACTGGACAAATTTGTTTGTGCTGTTTGTACCTTGAGGATAAATATTTAGTAGTGCTATAAGTACTGTTAAGAAAACTACTCTGGGTGAAAAAAGTATTGCACAAATCAATTTCATACTGATTGTGCTTGTTTACTAATTATTGAATAACAGTATAATTATATGTTGTAGTAGTCTACTAATAATAATAATAATAACCATCAATCATTTATATTTATGTTATGTATGATATGTGTATGTTTCATAGCAGTATTTTTATGCGCTAAATTTGATAAAGAACAAATGTCAACCCCCCCCCCCCCCGCTCCTCTGATGCAGCAATACCCTCTCAGAATCAAAGAGTTAGCACTATTTCTTTATTTTTGCTGGGGCAACTTTTAGTTTACATCTAAAGGTTATTGATAAACAAGGAACAATATGATGCCCTAAACATCGGTGGTCATGAAATACCAGAAATCCGTTTTGCTGATGATACAGTATTACTATCAACATCACAAAATGGTTTAGAAAACTTATTAACCTCACTCCAAAGAAATAGTGAAAATCATAACTTATTTCTTAACATAGCAAAAACAAAGATAATGCATACAAACAAAACTGCCATGGAGAAGGAAATATATGTTAATGAGGAAAGATTGGAAGTGGTGAAAAATTTCGAATATCTTGGGTCACTGGTTACCAACAATGGTGACACAATGAAAGAAATTAAACGGCGACTATCAATTGCTCTTCAAAGACAACTGAATAAATTATGGAAATGTACAGATATAATTACAAAGGTCAGATTTTTAAGAGCATGCATCTTTCCCATTGCAACATACTCCTGTGAGACCTGGACACTTACTAAACAAGCGGAACAGCGCATAAATGCATTTGAATATAAATGTTACAGACAGGTTCTAAGAATATCTTGGGTGAAGAAAAGAACAAATGCATCCATACTTCAAGAGCTGAATATTGAAGAGGGTTGGCTAGTAAAGACAATAAAACAAAGAAAATTGAAATATTTTGGTCACTTGAAACGTCATGGAAGTCTAGAGAGAACAATAATGGAGGGGTATATGCCTGGGAAGAGAGGAAGAGGAAGGCCAAGGAGAAGATGGGTGCAGGATGTGGCAGATGATCTCCAGATGGGTTATCAGACGCAGGACATCTTGCTCAGGATAGGAAGGTTTTCCGGAGGGTTGTTATGGCAGCGAGGTTCCGCGAGGGACATGCTACTGAATGAATGAAACGTTATTGATGTTTATGTTCATGTTAACTGTAGCAAAAGCATTTTTGTTTGTCTATAAGAGCCTTTATTGTTATATTTAATTGGCACACTTATTTACCTTAAAAATGACGTATAGTTCTAAAAAATATGTCGAAAATTAATGAAACTGTAGTTTCATTTGTGTATACATCTCCTCGATAAAAACTGGGGGACTCAATTCTTGCACAAGAACGGGAATTCCTGTTCGAGCTGTACGGGCTTATAAATCTGGAGCTGGCCGTGGATAAACCTGGGAGCCTGGGGTGAGTTTGAAACATTATGCCTCAGGAGTGGGGTTGAAAGGGAGCCGACGGGGAGGAGGGCGTTCGAACAAAAGACCACATAGTTTGCAGGCAAGTGTCTATCTCTGTGCGGACTGAAATATGAAGGCAGTCATATACCAATCATTACCATCGTTATATGAGACAGCGAGAGTTTTGCAGCAGATATGTCCGCTCAGGGAGAGTATCCCACTAAATCTGTCTTGGCGGGGATTAAACCTTACTGGAACGAGATAAAATATCCTATGTAGCCGAAAGAGGGGTTCTCCATAGACAACTGCGATAGATATGGACGAGAAGCACCCAGTTGGAAATCAAGAAGCACAGTTATTGCGAAGAAAAACCAAATAAAAGATACTCAGCAGAAATACCCAATAATAATTCAAGAAACCTAACTCAATGAATATTTAAAAAAAAAAATTGCAAAACTTCTTTCAACTGTTAATATTACTTGTATTTACCGCTTTTCGTTTGTAGGCGGGGGAACGGGAGCGGTAGGGAAAGGTTGTGAGTTTAAGGAATTACGGCAGTATCTAAAATGGATTGTGTTCTTCTTCAAAGAAGCATCCAAGCATTTACTGCCGTTAAAGTGTGAAGTTATACGGCTTTGTACACTGTAAGAAACGACAAATTAATGGGCTGATCAATTCCTTTACTAAACACATTTTCTTCCTAACCAAATTCCAGAAAATTAAATTATGTATATTGTCCTCCCCGTATAGGTTCCGGGTTTTGTGTGTGTGTGTGTGTGTGTGTGTGTATGTATGTGTGTGTATGTGTGTGTGTGTGTGTGTGTGTGTGTGTGTGTGTGTGCCATACACTCACTGTTCTCTAACAAGCATGTCATAAAAAGCGATTAATTAAGGGTTGCTGAAATCGGATGTGTTGGGCTAAAAGGCGCACATAGCGCATCTTAGCTGTAAACTAGAACAAAATATGCCAAGCGCCATTTTAATGGCTGGCGCAGACACACACACACACAAAAAAAACGATAACATTATCTACCTCCATTTTTAATAACACTGGGCCTCAAACATTAATCCGGTAGACAAGCAGAGGAAATGCAAGACTCAGGTAGGAGCAGACTACAACGGGTGCCTTTCTTCTAACAGTTATTTGGCGGAAAATAAGACAGGGATTAGACAATCCTCCAATTAAAACTATTATTTGGTGGAAATTAGACACGGGCGGTCAAAATGTTTCAGGGCACGTTATAACTGAAATTGCCATTTGAACATTTAGTAACAAGCAGCAAGCTTAATCAAAACAGAGGAAGTGTATTGTCTGTTTCTACGATCGCCCTTTAAAGTGTGGTTGCCACGTAGTGTGGTGTTTTGCTTGGAGCTGTTTTTTTTCTAGACGAAAGATGCCGTTACTCACCACAGGAAGTCTGAACCAGGCGTCGGTATTAACTACAAGGTGTCTAATTAAAAATCGCTGAAAAATATACCTTAAAGGTGCTAGTAATGCGTACCGTTAGGTACTGCCAGATAAAAAGCATCTAGGCTCAACTCTGTTCTCAGCCTACTCCTAAGTAGTCCCTTTTTACGGCGTGCTTGTTAAGGAACAGTTTGCAATTGTAACATTATCTTTTTATGCCATGTGCTAATGAAGGCTTTATAACCGCAACGTTCATTTCTTGTTTGTTATTGTGATAACGTGAAGATGACTAGTTACTGTTAAGGGACAGTGGGTCAATTTTTCGAAGAAACTTCAGATCAAACAGGACCTAACTAATGATTCAGATCTTTCTTTCTGTCGTCTCATTGTTACCAGGTTATAGCCCAGTGTTGTGGTCTTCTGTACTTGTCTTGCTCCTCTTCGCTGTCTTGGATGATGGATTTATTCATCATTTTGCAGGTTTCAGCTACATCATTTATCCATCTCTTTCTTGGTCTCCCCCTCGCCTTCTTGCCAGGCGTTCTGCTGTAAAAAGTCTCATGGCTGCACTCTCATTAGATGACAGAACAGTTTAATTCTTTGTCTGTTAATGTAATACAGACATGGTCTTATTCCATCTTTTTCTCTAATGCTGGTATTCTTTGAGAATAATTCAGACAAAGAAGGGTTAATACAACATATGTATGCTAATGAAGTCTGAAAGAAATTCTGTTATTTATGGAATGACCAAAAGGCTAATTATTCTTACATTTCTTTGCAGGTACTGACAGCTATCAAACAAGATGGAGCACGGGTCTGATCTAGTTTGGATGAGTGAACAGTTACTGCGAGTACCCGAAGTTAAACACACGTTACACCCAGTCGTCCCTCCCGTGACGCTTCCCAAGAAATATGTCAGTTTATTGAAGTCCCCGAATAAAAACCGAGAACACAACGCCAGCCCACTTTCTACTCCCACAAAAGCTTATCAGACATCATCGTCAACACCGTCAACCCCAAAAGTAAAGCATGATACACGATTTTCCAGGCAGTCCTTTCGTAATTCCATTACAAGAAGAAGGAAGTCCACAAAGACGAGTGAGATACTGCCAGGATCAGTCTATTCCGACGACGGAGATGGCCATTTGTCTGATGTAAGCTCGCCAAGTTCGCTGTCCAGGCTGTCCAGACAGCTTGCGTCTGCTGTGTCAAGGTCCATTTCGCGCTCTTCGAAGCATCGTTCATCGTCGGAGTCACGTGACCAAGGTATACTATACTCAGTAAGAGACGATGCTTAAAAATTGTATGATATGTAATTTTGTTGCAATTGACGTAACTGTACACCTGGTGTTTCCATGCAGGCACAGTCCTCTGATGCAGCAGTCACTCCAAGGTACCTCTGCTAAGTGTTCCCATTAGGATTTGATTTAAATGTCTTCTATCTCCTTATCGAAGGTTTCGTAGACGTGCATCACCTAATTTTACCCTAAGGTCATGCAGCAGTGTCAGTATAAGAAATACACTGTCATCAGTGCTCAGTCCTCTAATGCAGAAGCCACTCCAATGAACGTCTACTGAGTATTCCCATTAGGAGTTGATTATAATATCTCATATCTTAGTCTCGAGGTTGTCTTAGACATCCTTCACCACACGTTACTTCCAGGTCACGTAGTCGTGTTTGTATAAAACAATCTTCATTATCTACTAGCCTAGTCCCTACAGTGTTGGTGATATCTGCTCTGACCATGCTTCTTTCCGCATGCATTGATCATTGCTCGCCAGAGGGGCTCTTGCTCATACTTGTCACGCCGGCACAGCCAGATGTGTAGATCCAGGTGGAAAAGTGGGGGGGGGGGGGTGGAGAGGGTTACTTGCTATTTAAGTGCATACAAGTATATTCTACGACCTAAGTACGTCAGTGTATTACCGGAAAGTCAGCACTGAAATAGTTGGTGAAGGAAACAGGGCATCTTTGGGCATGCCCATATAAATCTGATACCCCACACTGTGCCAATGGCTTCGGGCGGACGAGCACACTGGGAGAGGATACTAGCCTTATCCTAGGAAGAAGAAATGCAGCCTGGAAACTTTATATTATAGCAGGACATACCAGCCCGTATCCTTGGCTGGTAGGTTATCTATGAGGAAAGCTCCAACAGGCAGCCAGATAGAATACCGCTTTTCTGATCCGTCAGCTTCTGCAGCCTGCTTTGTTCCAAACGTACTGGTGTTACCTTTTTTTAGGGGGTAAACAAGGTATGTCAAGGGAGGGATCATGATGCTTGGTCAACATATGTTCTCCACAGTACTTTCCAGGCTTTGTGCTTCTACGAAGGCTCGGGTGGCTGGGTCATACCTGGAGAATAACGGATGGCAGAATTCCTAAGAACATCCTCTTTGGTGAACTACAGATGTGTAGAAGATATCGAGGCCGACCTCTACTGCAATAAAAAGATGCATGCAAGTGGGACATGAATGATACAGGTGTGAGGTTGAATCATGGGAACAAAATGCCACGAATCGTGTTGTGTGGTGGGGGCACATAAGAAATGGATTGAGAATGAAAGGAAAAGACATTTGCAGAAAAAAATTGAGCTGTGTCTTCCCCATATAGGACGGTCGTATTTCAAAGGATCTCTGGTGTGGTGAACTGGAAACAGGGAGAAGATCTGCACGTTGGCCAGAGAGCTCTATGTACACATGCAAACGTGACCTGAAATTAACCGATCCTGATACAGACGCTCAGGGGAGATAAGTTACGGACAGACTCGTATGGGATCAGGCAGTGAAAAACGGACTGTAGCACTTGGCAAGAGGTCTCACACAGCTAGCTTCAGAGAGGAGAAGTCTCAGAGAAAACCAGCTTCAGTATAACGATATACCATTTTATTTATATAATCTGTGTGGCAGAGACTACCATTCCCGCATACAAATTTAAGGATAGCAGACGTTAGTTTAAAAAAAAAGGTAAAGATCCCTTTAGTCGCATCGAGCACATGGAAAGAGCACCCTATATTTTTACAAACCCATCGGCTCTGGGTGGGTAATGTGGTCGGCATTACGCTTGCCGTCTTTACTTCCACAGGACATCCATCCTGGTACCCATTTCAGGCTGGGTCGACCTGTGACGTCCCATACCACGATATAAATCCACGCAGCCAGCGTTGGATTTCGATCGCAGTACGTTGGAATTACGAGTCGGACTCGCAACGCCTAGGCCACGGACGCCTCTAATGATTGCAGACCAGCGGTACAGCTCCATGGTCTTTAGGGACTGACGGAATGCCTCACTAGCAAACAACGCAGAAGACTCTCGGATCCTCTGGGTCTTCTAGTACATTGTCGAAGTTGATGGATTACACTTGTATCTGCCTTTATCAATATCCCCCCCCCCCCTCCCCCTTTCCAAGTGTCTATTGTGCCTATGCCGTCTTTACTATTGAAAAGCCCCAGATACGTTCGTTTACTTTCTGTTTGTGATGATGATCTGGATAAAAAGACAATATTTGCAGTTTTCAATGTCTGGGGCTGATTTCTTTACTGTTAATGACATTCTCCTGTTGATATTTAAAAAAAAAATCTTAGCTTTCTCTGTACATTCATTGTAAACCTGGGGACTTTCAGCCAAGTTCGAAAGTGTAGAATAATGTTTATGTATGGGTGTACGTGTGTATGTGTGTGTCCTAACTAAAGAAGTTGCAATATTAGATAAAAGGCTTAAGAAAGAAAAAAATAGAATGATACTGATAAGTGATATACAAAAGTAAATATCGGCCTTTAGTGTGTGTGGGGGGAGGGGGGAGGGGGGGGACAGCACGATGAAAGGTTTAAGAAAAAAAAAATAGAATGATACTGACAAGTGATATACAAAAGTAAATATCGGTCTTTAGTGTGTGTGTGTGTGGTGGGGGGGGGGGGGGTGGGGGGGGGGGGGGGAACAGCACGATGAAAGGCTTAAAAAAAAAATAGAATGATACTGACAAGTGATATACAAAAGTAAATATCGGCCTTTAGTGTGTGTGTGTGGGGGGGGGGGGGGGAAAGAGGGGCACAGCACACCGGGCTTCTTTTCTTCTCCAAAGTTTACTTGCGACGCACTCGGTAGACACAATAAAATACAATATACTTGGCATTTGGAAACCCGTACCTTCGGGCTGGCAGGCGCGTCTAACCGCTGCGCTGTCACAGCTTCTATAGAATGATGTCGAATGTTCGAGATTCCATGTTGTCTTCTTCTCCGGAGTTTCTCCCAGCATCAAGGAAAGGAAAGCGAACTCTGGGACGGGTCCTTCAGTTAGCTTCGTATATGGTACTTTTCAATGTCTTTTATATTTCTGCGGTTCATTTATCACGTGGTCGACATCTGGCTCTGTTATCGTTGTGTCTGTGTAAAATGCATCTCTGTGGGTCCCTGTCTGATGCCAATGTTGTTACATGGCCAAACCATTGGATCTGTTGTCTATCGACACAGTTCAGTATTTTATTATTCCGGGCAGTGTTTTGCTAATTAACTGTCATGCAATGTCAAAGGGGAATAGCCCGGTATAAAACTGTGTTCTTACTTAAACATGTATTACTTCCCCTGCAGTGCTGACTTTCGTTAACGTGATCCTTTTGAAAGTAATGCTTTCAAGGCAACTGTCTCCAATCTTCTTCAGGTCGTGCCCTCCTCCTTGAGTATAAGATAAGAACCTCACGCCCCCCACCTCCCCTCCCCCTTCTAGCTCTCACCACCGCCCCTCCCACAAAGGTGTTATTACAAAGAGGGGGACAAAAAAAAAAGTACAGTTAACAACTAAGAAAGAAGAATAGGTCAACCGAAGGCAGCATTTCAGAAAATGAAAAAAAAAAAAAAAAAAAAAAAAAAAAAGTATCTGAAGCAATAAGTTGCTTTTACTTAATGTCAGGAAGAGGCAGACCAAGAGAGATTATGCTGGATAGGCTGAAACGATGGCATGGGGGGATGTCATCAAGAGAGCTGGGATCGTGATCTGTGGAGATGCATGAGCGCCTATGCCAGTTGACAGTAAAAAGTAAAGTAAAGATCCCTTTACACGCCTTTAGGCGCATCAGGCATAAGGGAAGAGCACCCATATTTTTACAGACCAATCGGCACTCGGTGGGTAATGTGGTCAGCATTACGCCGGCCGTCTTAGGGCACATGATAAAGATGATGATGACATTTAACAAAAATGTGATATTAATCTATATTTTTTTTAATACGCGTGTTATTAAAATAATTCGACTTTTAATGGTAGGTACACCAACATGCTCACGAAAACAAAACCGACCGTTAATTTTTTAACTTTTTTTTTTAAACCAAATATTTTTATTTGGAATTAAACTTGCAAAACAAAACCCACTCCTACAACAAAGAATTATTTCAAGTACAAATGGACTCAATTTCAAAATTGTTTGACGCCGCCTCCCCACCGCCCACCTCCCCAATATCTAGTTCCCTCTCTTGAAACTTCCTTGCACTTCAGTTTGTTTAAATGCCAGAGAACGTCGAGTATATCAGGCAGGACTCTTATCTATTTTGACCAAAACAGCACTTGGTGGGTGATGAGGTCAACTTCACACCAGGAGCATTACTTCCTGTAACATTACCTGGTGTCCATTTTAGGCTAGATGACCTGGAAGTCAATGTGAATTTGATTGTACTGCTGTGTGTTGAAAGTGTTTGCTCTGAGATAATTTAATGCATAGTTACGGATTACACAGCCGATCTGCCGCAAAAGTCAAATGTATAAACTGGCACTACATCGTGTTGCTCGGAATGGTTTAAAAATAATACATTCGAGAACATAACAAAGAAATAAACTAGACCGATTTGGCAGGATATATTCTGCTAGCAATGTATTAGTAATGTGAATTTAGTTATTATGCATTTACTCTCTTCTCTCTCTCTCTCTCTCTCTCTCTCTCTCTCTCTCTCTCTCTCTCTTTGTGTGTGTGTGTGTGTGTGTATGTGTATGTGTGGGTATGTGTCTGCATCTATTTGTATACCTCTACTAAGGTTTTTGTCCCCATAGAAAAATGATATTTTTGCTTTCTATTTATATTGTAAGCACATCTGTCTCCTCCCAGAAACAAGAAACAAAGATAATTCAAAGGAAACCAAACAAAGTCTCAGAAGAAAAAGCACACAAAGAATACCAGGTGAATCTAAAACTCAACTATCTCCGAATTCTCAAAAGCGTGACGTCATGCAGTTTATCCAAGAACAAGAACAGAGTCTTCAAGAACGATTTTTATCCATGCCTCAGCACGTCCACAAAAAACAGCGTCCACTAACCCCCACACTTCAACAGTCAGCAGGCCTGGAACACCTGGACAACCTTGTCCGTTTAATGGAGCAACTGACCGCTCTGAAGGATGAGAACAACAAGCTTCGAAAACGCTGTGACTATCTCGAGAGCACCAGAACACTGCTCGAGACGAAGAGAGATATTATTCCTGATAGGAGTACTTCATTAGGGTTCCTGATCCCACAGTCGAATCATAAATACGACCACAAAAGGGGTATCCTTATGGATAGCAAAGTCCAACCTTACGACAAGTTAAAGAAACCAAGAAAGTCTAAATCTGAAGAATTTGAAATCTTAAGCATCACAGATTCTTCCTCCGATGAAGGATCCATAAAATGTACAACTTTCCCACTCACTAAGAGCTTTTCCACAGGATCTATTGCTGCACCAACAGAAAAAGGCATAGAAAGCGGGGAGATGAAAGGTAAAAAGAGAAACAAAGGACACAGTAGACGAATGAAGTCAAAGAAGAAGTCTAAATCTTCTAAATGGAGTCGGGTTAAGCAAGCTCTGACTGGGCAGAAACCTCATGACAATGAGCAAGCCACAGAGCGAATATTTCTAGATCAGAGACGGGCGTCGAATTACCCGTCCAGAGGAAATACTCTCAGTGCTGATGACTCCAGGTCTACGTGGTATACAGCTTCTGAAAGTGACAAGGAAGTCCAGCCCACCAAGCGAAGTCTGGCTGCTAAAAAACAATGTCAGGTAAGCGTTTGTTGTTTTTGTTTTCTCCCCTTTTAAATCAACATATAAGTTTATCCAGCAATCTCTCCTCTGACAATATTTTGGTTGAAACACTAATTGATACATTGATTTTTTTAAGTATAATTACAAAAGACTGCGTTCTAAATCTACGAGAGATTTGTGTGTGTGTGTGTGTGTGTGTGTGTGTGTGTGTGTGTGTGAGAGAGAGAGAGAGAGAGAGTGTGTGTGTGTGTGTATCCAACCTGCAACCGACCAAGAAATCTGAAAAAATCAAACGCTGCCTCCCCCTTCCAGCCACCAACTCCTCTTGTCTCTATTACTCTCAGTGTCTATATCACCTCCCCTCCGCCCCTCCCCCTTTATCTCTCTTCTGTGCTTATCAGCACATACGTTTACTCCCCTATCTCTCAAAGGTATATCTATCAAAATTTTAATTATAACACTGACTGATATCTTGACTTGATACAGTATAATTATCCAAGATATTTTCGTACTAACTATGAACATTGATCTCATAATACTGCTTGTTCTTTTTTTTTTTTAAATATTTTTATTTTAGCAAACTATTTTTTTCAAACATGTATGAAATTCACTCGCAGTAAGAAAGAAAGAAAGAAAGAAAGAAAGAAAGAAAGAAAGAAAGAAAGAAAGAAAGAAAGAAAGAAAGAAAGAAAGAAAGAAAGAAAGAAAGAAAGAAAGAAAGAAAGAAAGAAAGAAAGAAAGAAAGAAAGAAAGAAAGTAAGAGAGAAAGACAGAAATAAAGAAAGAAAAAAAGACAGAAAGACAGAAATAAGGAAAGAACGAAAAAAAGAAAGAATAAATGAAATAAAGAAAGAAAGAAAGAAAGAAAGAAAGAAAGAAAGAAAGAAAGAAAGAAAGAAAGAAAGAAAGAAAGAAAGAAAGAAAGAAAGAAAGAAATAGAATGAAAGAACACGGTATAACTCATTACTTCCTTTACATAACCTTTAAACACTTTCATCACTTTTTTTTCCTCGGCAACTAGAATAATGGAAAGGTCTCTGAAAATTTTTTTGTAACTTAATAAATGCTTTTTTTTTTTTTTTACAATCTTCAGGAGGACGAAGACCCTGATCTCACCACTGAAATCTGGATGGGTCCTCCTGACTGGTGGGAGGAGTACGAGTCCCGAAGGGAAGGTAGTGGGACGTCATCAAACAGTCAAGCTAGCTCCATAATAGAAATTACCACCATGTACCTGGGCAGCCCAAAAGATACGACAACGTCAACGATTAAATCAAGGGGGACAACCACACCTACAGCATCACAAGAGAATCGGATTACCTCGGCACATTCATTGGGAGAAACAACTGAAGAAGACAGTCCCTCCAAGGATGTATCCATCCGCCAAAAGAAGTACGCTGCCTTACACAAATCATCAAGTGGGAAAAGTGCGGATCTAGGTATCGCAGAAAACATGGAGTTTCAACAGACAGAGAAGAAACTTCACAGGTCAGCTTGGGGCCGTGTTAAGGATATAATTCACACAAGGAAAGACAGTATCAAGAAAAAGTTAAAGAAAGATAGACTTGCAGTTGAAAACGAAGATAACCGAGACAACACTACGGATGTTCAGTCGAAGAAGACGGAAGCGCTGCTTGAAAACAGTCCCGGGCAGTCCCTTGGATCCCCACTTGCAGTTAACAAACAGAAAGCCAATGCAGGAATCGAATCCCCGCCAAAGGGAACAAGCATGTCTCCCAAATCTTCTCAGGGTTTCGTTCACGGAAATGTAGACATAGCTGCTTTATTAGGTAGGTATGCTTTTGGGCATCATATATATTTATAATATTTTAATAAGTCTTGATGCCCTACATTAATTTATTTCAGATGAATTCTCTCCCACCCCCCCCCCTCTCTCTCTTTCTCTCTTTCTCTCTCTCTCTCTCTCTCTCTCTCTCTCTCTCTCTCTCTCTCTCTCTCTCTCTCTCTCTCTCTCAGTTTTATGTTATTCAATTCATTGTTCGTCGGCTCTGTGGCTGTCGATGCCAACGCTTCGTAATGCTGAGATGCCGGATTCGATCCCCGCTGCGGGTGATGCGCCTTGTGTTGGTTTCGACAGTTTTATCAAGAAAGCCGACCGTCCAGAAGCAATGGCAAACTACTGGACGTAAATTTGCCTAGAAAAATCACACAACAGCCAGTGGCTATTGTGGTTGGTTCTGCAAAGTCCAGTAAAAGATACGCAACTAATTTTAGGTCATTGTTCATAGTTTTAGTGAGCATATTTATTATAATTAATAATAACTGTCTCCCAGGGGCTCTACTTTGGCGAGGGAAAGGAAAAAGGGGAGGGTAATAGATTCACTTCCAGTACAAGCATGTCATAAAAGGTTACTTACTAGGGGTTTCCGAAAGGCGTATGTATATCAGACTAGCTGTAAACAGAAAAAAAAAAAAAAATTTGCCCATCACCTTTTACGGAAGAATGTATTTTTTAATATGCAGCCGTCCTTACTTCCCTGGCCATTACTTTATACCCATTTTAAACTGGTCAAACTGAAAGCCAAGGTGAATTTTCAAACACAAAATAGTCAGTCTCCACGCCGATTCGAACCAAAGACCTTCTAGCCGGCAGGCGAGCTTCTAGCCACTAGGTAACAGCAGCTCTAATCATGCTACATACATAAAGTACGATTGACTTCTTCTGCTGGAGTCACCCATTCCCACTTAGTCTCTGGCGTGTTACTATACAGCTCTACGCACACACACACGCCACACAGACACACACCACAATACACAAACCACACACACACTCACACACCACATATGCACACCTACACACACCACATATATAGACGCGCGCGCACACACTCACACACACACACACACACACACACACAGAGAGAACAAGAGAGTGAAACTAAATGCCGCGAACCACTTATCGAAATTTTTATTATATTCTTACTAATTAAGTCTTCCCATGTGGGATGCAATGTTTTTTTGTTTCGTTTTTTGAAGTCCCACCCTGGCTTCTGCCGGGGGCCCTGATTATAGCCGGGACATAGATATAGTCTACCTAGCCCTCATCTAACGGCTGAAAGGGGTTTCCGGGACCGCTCCACGGGTGATCCTCATCTGCATGGGGGCACTTTGTGTCACCGGTTGTTTGTCGCTTGTGTGATGTCTTGGTGGTGTAAAAAGTCAGTCAGTCAGCTATCGTGAATTCTACGAGTACATTCGCTGTCCGTCGGTTCTTGGATTTTTCTCACCAGGGAAACAACTGACAATTATAGAAGAACCTAAAACTGTTTTACAAAAAAATTTTATTTGAATGTTGTC